GTTAAAGGTCCACTTTAAATAACATTTGCCAAGAATATTTATTTGACAATTACAGCATAAACATAAAAAGTATAAAAGTCTCTTCCGTAAGGATCAGCAGAACCATGCTAACTTAAGCTAACGTGTTTGGAAGGTCCAAAGACTGTGGAGACAAAAGGCACAAATATGATGCCGGAAGTGAGGTTCAAACCAAAAAAAAACAGGTGTGACTGTCCACACAGCACAGGCTAAAGGTGCCCATACACCTTACGAATATTGGCCAACTTTTGTTTGTGATCGCGTTGTCGACCAATATTCGTAAAGTTGATGTGCAGTGTACAACCGCAAATACTGTACAATCGTACGACTTTTGTCTTTCCAGCAGGTTATAAAACGTCTGTTGAATCGTACGATTTTCGCAAAGTTTGTGACGCTTCCGTACGTCAAAATTCGTACAATTAACACTGCTAATGTGCAAACGAAAATCCATGCGGTTGATTAATGAAATTCGTCCGGGTGATCTCTGCTAAAGACCGCTAATTGAATGATGCGATGGTCGGAGCGGGATGGGGCCACTGTACGAAAATCGTACGACGGTTCGATCATCGGACGAAAATTTTTATTCGATGCTTGCAAGGTGTATGGGCAGCTTTAGAGCCACGGAATTGTTTTGCATCAAATAAGAAAGCCACTAGACAAACTAACATGCAAACAGGGGAAAGACCTGGCACCTAACAATAGCTCCAAGAAAGGGTTTATAGTATGCTTTTGTGGCTATACAGTCTACATTTGGCAACATTTTCTGCTACAATGTTTTACAGATTAGGGGAGAATTAGAACTTTTGTTCAGTTTTTACTGCTGTTTGTATCTTTGCTAGTTAGTTTCACCCCTTGTATGTCTTACTTCTAACAGCCGCTCCTGAGTCAGTGACAGCCAGCATTTGTGGAGGAGGAAGGCTGGGCCCGGAGTCAGAAGCAGAGGAGGAGGCGGGCTGACGATGGAAGAGGAGGTGGGGCCTGGTGATGGAGGAGGTGGGGCCCAGTAATAGAGGAGGTGGGGCCCACGATGGAGTAGGCAGGGTCTGCCAGCGACCATGGAGGCGGACAGCAGATCGGGGCTGACAGGTAAGAGGTGTGCAGCCCACCTGAGACCCTGCAGAGCACACCAGGTTGCTCAAAGCCAGAGCTCAAATTAAAAAAAAGGCTATCATACAGACATTGCACTCGTGAAAAGAAGAGAAAGAACACACCAAGACCAGGAGATAATGGCCTATAAAGGATAATTGTGCAAAGAGCAAAGTAGCAAACAAAGTACAAAGATCAAAGTAGACAGGATACCAGGTAAGAGGCAGGGGCTAAGGACACAAAGGCAGTTAGCAAACAAGAGCAGCAGACAGACTATAGAAGGCAATGGAGAACACTAACCACTATCAAATGGAGAACAATAACCACAAAGGGAGAACACTAGCCACTATCAAATGGAGAACACTAACCACAAAGCGCTGGACTAGAAACAGGACAAAAACATGCATTGAAGACTGACCAAAACAAAATAGCAAGAACAGGGAGCGTAGAAGACAGAACTAAGACAGACAAGCTGCAATCTGTAACACCTTCATACTTTGGGCCCCGCTTAGCTTCATAATAATGATTGCATTCTGTTGGATGCAGAATCCGGCATATTGAGCAAGGGAAAATGAACACTTGTTCTTGAACAATGCTTGTATTCATGCCTCTTAGTGTCGCCATACCTCCTAACTTTCTAAAATGAGACACCTTATAGTACAAAGTATGTAGGCAAAGGACTACCTCGCCCCTGATCATATATACCAAGCAGAATTAATAAGGAAAAAAATATTGGTTAAACCCACAAGCCCTTTTTTTTTCTAAAAAAAAACAGTGGGCACCCAAATAAAACACTGCTTGGTTTTCAAAATAGCAAGTTCAATAATATAGGTTATGTAAAATAATTAGCAAAGAATAACACTTTTAGGTAAATAGTACATTTTTTATAGAGGTCTATGCATGAGACCAAATAAGAGGTACAACTGAGGAAGAAAGAGGGACAAACGTATTGCCTTCAAAAGAAGACACTTGGAAGATACAATGTCACCTATATTATTTATTAGGCAGATGAGCTGGTATGCATTTTAAACACACACAACCATGAGGGATCAGTTTTGGCCAGTATTATAGCCAAAATATGTAAGCTCACTACCTTTACGAAAGGACCTCATTTCTGGTGAGTCCTACACTAACAAAATGTGAGAAAAAAATGTTTTGGTTGGACTTTATATCTTAAACAAAGCACACTGGCATCCTTTGTTTTCACATGGGTTTGCATTTTACCTGACTGCTCTGCTGTAAAAATATAAAATTAATTTTCATGTGTATATCCTTTGATGTGGACATGACTAAATACTGCTATCATTTTCAATCTATCTAGCTGAGATACCTTCCTTGCGGATGGAATATCAGAAATTAGGAGATTAATAATACATGTTGATTTTGGATTGTGCATGTCTCCTATCCTCCTCTCCTCCTCTCCTCCTCTCCTCCTCTCCTCCTCTCCATTCTCCTCCTGTCTTCTCTCCTCCCCTGCCCTCTCCTTCCTTCCTCTCCTCTCCTCCCCTCCTCTTTAGTTCCCTTCCCCTTCTCATATCAACATGCACGATTGCATCATGATGACCTGTTTATACGTTATGTTATCAATACAGTTGAGTTCACAGTGGGATAGGAGATCCCAGGTAATTATGGATGGGTTTTCAGAAAAGGCTTTTTGTTATAATGTGCCAATATTGGCTCAGTGTTCTGAGTCTGTAAATATCTGGCACATAGCTAGCTCATTTCCTACCTGAACTGTATCGGTCCATTGTTTATATTAAATAATAAGAGCTTTAATATAATATGTGGTATTGTTTCCTAAACTTATATAAGAGAGCCTTTAACAATGGGCAACATAGAAGACGTATGATGTCTAAATAGTTCAAATGGAACTCTAACTAAAGAGTTGAACAAAGTTGAAATTCATGCGATAAACTGCTATTTTTTAACCTTTTTAAATATGTCTGTTTAGTTAACCTTACAATTCACACAATCCTAGCTACTATATATAGTCAGGAAGGTGACACTACTATCCAAAGTCTGCAGCTATGTAGCATAATGTGTCATCTCCCCACCTAACAGACTGAGCACAGCTATAAATAAGCATCTAACTTTGGTTCTGTATCTACTACACTGGCAAAGTTCTCCCCATTCATTCTCCTGAAATCTAAATACTCCCCTAGCTCCCTGTGCCTGAAACGTGTTAGGAATTACTGTACTAGGTGTTAGGTAAGCATGGCAGCTTTATTTAAACATATAATTAATTCATTTATGGATCATAAAATGACTAATATTTAAGGCTTTTTGTTATACTTGTCTCAAGTTCCACCAATTGCCACAAGCAATACTCAAATTGCCCATATAATTTAAAAATGGGGAGCTGTGTATGCCCACTTATAAAACAGTGATCTCTTATTAACACTATGGCAAATAAAAGTTATGCTTCTTATTATTGAACATTTGTGTTGCCAAACTTACTACAATGTTTCTTCCTAAACTGCTGATGTTTCAACTCACAGTGTAATAAATGGAGAGTTTGCCAAACCATTGCAGTAAGAGGCTCTTTTCTGTTCATTTTCTTTTTCATTTGCCCAATAAACATTTTTTCCTATCTTGGAAAAAAACAAAATAATGTTGTTATTGATTGCCATTATCATTGCCATCATTATTAGCTTGTTTTCAGCATAACATGAAGTGGTCTTTTGGTATGAAGAGCTGACATGTTCCTGTAGCAGCAGGTGTCTGTTTACAGTGTCAGCTGAATAATAAATATGGTGGAATCCTAGAAACAGGCTGTATTTCAGCTGTTGTGTTTTGGTTGCACTCGGCTGAACTTTGTTGTCTGGTGAACCAATAACACTAGATAAGAAATCTTTATAGTACAGATCTAATAATAGCCTCTCATGAGGCTGAGTATCAGGGGAGTCGCAATGTGTTCTAGAGCATCCAGTGGGAGAAAAGCTCCTTTTAACTGGCACCAATCGGTTACTGATGCTGTCAGTAGTTTCTATAGACTGCTGGAGTAAATGCCATGAGTATATTGTAAGCCAGCATTCTCTGCATGGGGAAATATTTAATTAAAAGAGTTCTAAAGTCCCGACATATACAGTACTCTGTTATACTATACCCTGTTATAACATCAGCATTGTAATAGGAATACATACTAGAGTTGTTTTTGATAATGCAATCAAAGCTTACTTGAAAAAAAAAATCGCTTTTATGTAGTTAGTGCTGCCTTCCATCTGTCCATCACTTTCATCAATTTCCAGACATCCCAACCTGCAAAACCTTATTTCAGGGAGGTGCCCTTCTTATTTAATGGAGGTCCCTTTTCTGTTTTTTTTTATTGTGACAATGACCGCCATCAGAATGGAAAAAAAAACCCCAACAGATAGCATGGGAATGAATAGCTAGGTTGCTATTGGTCATTTCAATTTGCAATAGCCAATAGCAGGCTGGCTATTGCACCCACCCACTGCTGTCAATCAATCGGCAGAATGAGAACTTCAGGTCCACCTCTGCTGATTGACAGCAGCAGTGGGCAGGTTTAATAGCCAGCCTGCTATTGGCTATTGCAAATATATATACTATATATTGCAAAAATATAGCCATTAGCAGCCTAGCTATTAATTCCCATGCTATCTGTGTTTTGGTTTTTTTTTGAGAGCGCTGTAAAAAAAAAAAAGATTGCATGTGGAGTAGAACCACCAGGTATCCCATAAAGGTTTACTCTGCTAGATAGAGCAGGGTAAACCTTTTCGGGATAAAATGTTTTTTCACAGGCATCAGGGAGCAGCTATCTAATAGCAGGAGACTCCCAGAGCATCTGGGAGAGTTGCGATGTCTGTATAGTTGGTGTTAGCAATGAGCTATGAGTTCAAATACTGGTCATTACACTATCTACATGGAGTTTGCATGCTCTCCCTGTGCTTGCATGGGTTTCCTCTGGGTACTCAGGATTCCTTCCACACTCCAAAGACATGCTGCAAGGTCAATTGACTTCTGTCTAAATTAGCCCGTGTATGGGTAAGGAACTAAGATTGTAAGCTTCGTGAGGGCAGTATGTAAAGCACTGTGTAAATTGTCAGCGTTATATAAATACCTGTAATAAATACATCAGTAGAGCTCACACAACTGCCCAGGCAATATGAAATAGTAATGAGCCACATTGGGTTGTTTGTTGTAATTTTTTCAAACATGGTCCAAGAGTTAAAGTCAGTTGAATCGTGTCTGCACTTACTATGACCCTCTGTTATCCATGATCAGCTTCTTTAAGTTGTAAAGAAGAAATTGTCTGTGTCTGTACAATTTGTACAGTGAATAAAGAGAACCAAAACATACACAACCAATGACCCTGAGGATAGATCAACACAAATCACTGTACAATATTTACAGCAAACATGGCTGACATTAAAGAGCTCTTCCCTCCTAGGAGCATTGGCAGGAAAATACCTGCCCCCTACCAGTTTGTAAATTAACCTGCATTAGCAGGACGATGGCAGAGCTTCTCATAATAAACAATCATTTCCCTACAAAGACATTAGTGATTCCACAGCCTACAATGCGTGTGTTGTATAGGGAAGTATGTCTGTGTCCATTTACAGTTACACTGTAATGATGATGATGAAATAAAAATAATAGCTATATTTACTGCCAGTGTGGAATACTATATGTACTGATTGTGGTAAATGTGGTTATTTTCCATTTATTTGGCTAGAGATTCTAGAAGCTGAGCAGTCCTATTGATATCCTAGCTGCTCAATGATACTTCCAGACATATCAGCCCTCTTGGCCCATCTCAGGACTTGTCAGTCCATGCCAAATAATGATTCTTTTTAGGAATGTCTAAGGAAGCCCGTGCTGACATATATTTGTGATATGCTGCTTCCTTGGCTATCATGCTGATGTAGTTGCTTTGACACTTTCTGAGTCACTGACCTGTGAAAAAATGTAGATAGAGAGACCAGATTTCACTAGTTGCATGCTTATTTCAGGTAGAAAGATTTGTAGCTCCTTCTTGGAAATATCTAAGCCCCATCCACAGAGAATAAAGTGTTCTACGTTATTAGATAGGGACACATACTTCCTATATGTTCTCTTACTTACAACCTATTAGTGAAATGATTTAGTCAATGAAACCCTGCTCCAAACACTTCAAACTCAATGTGATGAAAGGCGGAACCCTGTACTGGTCACATTCATTCTTCAGTGAATCAGCAGTCCTTCCCTGTGTTTAGCTGATTTGCTTGTGGCTTCGTAAGCTTGTTTTCTTTGTAAGATATAAATGTTGAATAACTGAGATCAGTGGCTACAGAAAGAACAGAAGACAGAGATTGAGAGCCCAGAAAGGGCAGAAAGTGGAAAATGTTGGGGAAGGTTAAAACTAAGGAGATGCTGAATAAAGATGAGCTCTGTTCACAAAGATGTTGGGTTATGAAGGAGGCTTGAGAATGGATAACTTGGGCTGGGCTTGGCTGAGTATCCATATACTAGGGACGGGGAATGACTGATTGTGGAGATTTTTGGAGGATGAAGGAGAGTTAAGTATCAAAAAGAGAGGGAGCAGAATGCCAATATGTATATACCTGGGAAAACATGAGGAGTGAGCATTGATATCCTGGGTGATGTAGCAGGATGGATGGAGCATAGAGATTCTTAGATTCTGGTGATGCTGAGGAAGCAGGTGGATAAATCAAGCAAATGCTGGGGAATGCATAAAGGCTGAGAATGGAGACATGAGGTGAAGGAGAAGGACTGCACAATAAGAAGCTGGAGAAGAATGGAGGACTAAGAAAGGAGATTTAGCAGAAATGGTGATAAATGAACACGGAGATGCTGAGAAAGGAAAAAGAGCTAAGATGTTAGTTAAATGACTAAGGAATTACATGATGGGTGTTACTGGAGGATTGGACATAAATAAAATGCTGGGTACTTTGAAGGGACTATGCATGCAGATGCTGTATAAATATGAGGACTGAGATGCTCAAAAAGGCAAAAGACAAGGCATGGAGGTGCTGGAATAGGCATGGTGATTGATGTTGGGGAAGGGGTTAGGACTAAGCATGTAGATGCTGAGGAAGACATGAAGAATGAGTATGAAAATGTTGAGTAATGAGGTGAACTAAGCATGAAGATTCTGGAGAAGGCATGATAACCAAGAACGGAGATGTTGGAGAAGGTATAAGGACTGAGCATGTAGACACTGCAGAAGGCATGCCGAATGAGCATGAACAGAGGATTATGATGTTAGGGAAGAGGTGGGAGCTGAATCTGGAGATGTGTTAAGATATTAGTATATAGATATGATGTGGGTTTAAAGATGTAAAGTAAGGGCAAACACTGAGCACAAAGAAGATTTGTTTTGGAGGTCAAGCTTATTGATGATTAGGATGTTTTTTCTTCTCCTGTGGATTTTTCTACCAGACTCATTAAACAGATATCTAGTATAATCTCTTGTATAACCACCTTTATACATGGCAACGTAAACTTATCAAGAACTGGTACAAATATTGTTGATTCATCATTAGGAGTATGTACAGGCAGCAGCATGCTGACTGTGCTCCGCTGGAGCTCTCTGTGAGGTCAGCAGAAACTATGAAAATTTCACTTCCCAGTTCAGACTTCTAAATAAGTTCATGACTTATAAGACTGATATAGTACTTTCATAATGGCTACAGTGGTTTTTCAGGCTGAATGCATACATATTTCTTAATTTAGAGGTTTAAACCATATGTTAAGATTAAATAGATGGTGATGCGAGATTATGTGACCATGCAAACTTTATTTAATGAAAGGCCACATGGCCTATTCTTTCCCTTGCTTTGTAGCATTATGTTTCACAATGACATTAAGCAGCTACAACCTGATGCCAATAACATGGGTTAATTTAGTAAAGGAATAGAACATGTTATCTTTGCACAGTGAATTTTTACTTAGCTTAGTAAGTGAGGTGAAGTTAAGTCATAATTGGCTTGGCAAAGAATATCAGGATTTTTACTCGCACATGATTGGATGATTGAAGTCAGTACACATTCACTAAGCTAAGTGACTAAAGTAGTATCTGAGTTCACATATCTGTATTCACTTATCTTCAGCTGTTACATTTTCATATAGTATAAGGCATTACCTTGCTACCAAAACATGGTAATATTCAACATCCTTTTTGGCAAATTGTAGTCTGAAAAGAGATCTATTTTTCTTCAATCAAGCCTTGTGATGTCTATACTGAACTCATATTTACTTACATTGAATACAATAGGCAGCTGTAATATTACTAATTAGAGAGCAGTTGTTTACATTTCTTGAATTATGAATTGGTCCCATTCATGGAACTGACTAAAACCATCAGCATGATGTGAGAGGAAATAAAGAAGCTTAATTCAAGGCCAGTAAAAATTCCAGAAAGTATTAATATTGTTACAGATCTGCTTTAAAATGGGATAACAGGCCTGATAAGGTTAATCAGAAACATAGACTGGAAAATTTACCATCTGCCTTTTGGTTTTAGAAACCACTATTTCATTACAACAAAGAAAAATGTTTATTCTCATCCTAAATAAAAATGTACAGTGTTAGAAACCTCTTCAGCATCCTCCATGCCATTGTATCAAGTAGGCATTCATAAACAAGAAATGTGACCATTACAAGCATTTTTCCAATAAGTGTGCCGGGTAACTCTGGAGAAAAGAGTGTCATGTAAGTGCTGGAGGTGCCTGTTATGGTATACATTGGATAGTCTAGAAATTATTATTAATCACTGCCTGCTCTCCAAATGAGTGGAAACAATCCACACAACATCAGAATCAGGGATGCAGCACTCTGGACAAGCATGGACATACACTTATTGCCGATTGTTCTCTGTGAAAAGTTTGTGTATGAAAAGCCTAAATCTGCCCATGCACCTAACATGAAACACATTAGAAAAGCAATTACAACTCTATGCCTTAGACCCGCTGTAATATGAAACAGCCATCCATTGTGAAGGCCAAATCTGAAATATAAAAGTGGGTTCCATCTGTCCATTGTGTCAAGGGTTCAATCTGCATACACAACACTCACACAATCTGTCCCAGCAAGTTGAAAAATCACTTGCTGCAAAGTTATGTTTGTTCTGTATCCTTAGGGATGAGAGCAACTCATTCGCTGTCCACACACCGGACACAATGTTAAAGTAATTCAGCGTTTCTTGAGCACCAGAGCAATCTTGCCTGCAAAATCTTTTAATCTATGGTCACGTTTCAGTTATAAAAATACAATGTATATCTTTCAGTCTTTTTTTTATAAATTTTATCAGTAATACATAGAGGAAGGATTATGTAGGTTGTAGTATAACCTAATAATAGGAATAGTGCTAATAGCAAAAATACAGAATACCATTCTGGGAAGAAAGATAAAAGAAACATTATGAAGCCTACTGGAGTTTGGGTAAAGGTCCACCAGACTTGATTGGTTGGTGGTGTCCAGGCTTTTTGCTGACCAGATTATCTCCACTGCAACATCAATCCAGTTTCTGTCTCCAGGATTGCCCGCTGATGGCCATTGACAGTTTTTCTATTGTTCCCTTTTGGGAGGACTGATAGGCTTGATTATTCCTACAACTGTAAGTTTAATATCACATTTTATGAAATATACATTTCTCAGTTTTTATCACACTATTCTAATGCTCTGCATTTTTTTTACACGCTATGGTACAAAAGCCTACACTAATAATCCCATGTAGGGCTTTTACAGGTGGCTGTGTAGACCATTACTTCCTATAGGTTCTCTCTTGCTTGAGAGGCATGGCTACATTAGTTTACATTCTGTGACCCCTGCCCATTTTGTCATATTGTCCACTATAAGCAGCATGAATGCCTAATTTTAATTTTTTGTGAAGTCACTCTTTTATATATTTTGATTTGACCCCTTTATAAATAGATCCCATTTAAAAGTAAGAGTGAGACAGAGGGAGATGGAAGTTTTCTGGGAGGAAGATGTAGCATAAAGTGGGTCAGGTCTGGCAGCTGCTGTTTTTAAGAATAATAGTGTCAGCCCTGTCAATACATGTCTTTCTACAATTTTACACAATACCCTCAGTATCCATTGTGATTGGAGCTCCCCTTGGAGTGGTGACAGGTTGGGGCACTCTGTCAGGCCTATTGTGATGCTTTACATTTGATTGCTGGAATAAACGTTGCAGACAACTGCTGTCCTGTTACAGAACATGTGTAAATTCTCCCTGCATATATGCTGAGAGGTTGTTGAAATATGTGTTTATTAATAGGAGTAACTTCCTTTGAAGTGTCTAGGCATGACGACAAAAGAAGGGTTCAACACTGGAATGTACTAAGTGATGAAAAGTTATACAATAACAGTAAAGTGATTCCCTCTATTTAGGTAATCCTCTATAATCCCAGACTAATTAACAGCATTATGGTGTTTTCCATATATGTCAGTGCAGAGTTACACTTATAAAAGTGTACATAATATGAGCCTAATACCTAAATAAATAAACCTAAAATACTTCTAAAATGATATATCTACAGTATCTATCTATCTATCTATCTATCTATCTATCTATCTATCTATCTATCTATCTATGTATCTATCTATCTATGTGTGTTTATGTCAGCTATTCTTAATCACATACAAAATGGAGATAATTCATCCAAAATATTTCCCAACAATAATAAAGTACCGACAGAAATATGGAGGCTTCTATAGCTGATCTCTCCTTCTAACTGCCTGGCTGTCATGCTGGTCCTCCTACTTCAATAGTATGAGTCCAGAAAAACTATACAAATAAGGACTTCTCTTTCCTGACCGCTTACCTTTCCTGTGCATTTTTCAGCATATAATTGCTGCAGGTATATTAAAGAATAGGTGCACTTATTCATTTTGGCCCATCCCCTGACTAACAGATCTTACTCTCCCCCTCCACAAATGCAAATTTACCTAGATCCAGTGCCCACGGCCTCCTGTGTTTGTTGACATCCTTTGCTTCATCTCTATCTACTGTATGTGATGAGTGCAGTTACAGGGAACACTGCAGTGTTTGATTCGCAGCTGAATACTGCATAATTAATTCAAATTTAGTTGACCACAAGTTACATCCATTGTCATTGAGAAATAAATGTGACTGCCACTATGTAAGCTACCTAAATGGAATATTAAGAGCAGAAATTCCACTGTACCCAATTGGATAATTGGAAATAAAATGGAGCTTTAAGTACCTATAAGATGCTTCCATAATTCTGAAAGGCAGCCAACAATTACAAAAATGATTTTTGAAGCTTGAGGCTCTTAGACAGCAGAACATTTTCACACTGCTGATAGAGTCTTTTGCTAAACTGGAGCCTTTTGTTGTTCCAATATTGGAAGAGTTATGTTGGGACAAAACCCAGTCCATCTTTGATCATTATTTCCTATGGAGATTGGATTTCTCTAGATAAGGAATTGATTTTAATTTGAACATTCAAGCCTTAACCAATTGTAAACCAATTTTAAAAGTGCATCCACTGAAAGTTAAACTGAATTTAAAGTGCATCCCCTAGTTAGCCACCCTTACTACTCTTTAGCCCCATCTCTAATTGATTACTAAATTATATGAAAAACATGAAACTAAAAGCGTCAATGTCTTATCTGTAATCATGTCCATTAATTTCCCATTAGCCTTCTCCACCACAGGGTGAAGCTCTAACATGTTGAAAACAGTGGCCAGAGCTGCAAGCAGTAAAAAGAAAACAAAAGTTCACTGGCGGGGCTAAATGTATAACTCAGGAGCCTGTAGGCTCACAACCACTGACACCCAAAGCATAATCTCTTTGCTGAAATCAAATCTCTTTTGCACAGTATTTTTACTTGCTTAGTTTGTCTTCATCTGGGTTACAATATTTTGATAATGGAAAAATTAATTTAAGATGACTCTATTTCTAGCTGCCTGTAGACCCATGCCTACTGTGCCTAATTGCAAAAGTCCGCTAGCCACTTCTGTTTGACAGGACCATTGGGCAGCAGACACAATCACTACTTGAGTTTCCTTGGTATTTCCTGAATCTTACAAAATATGTTTGCTTATTGCCTGAAATTGCTCTTTTAAGTGAACCTGTATATTTCCCATGCTCATATGGCCATTCTTTTTGCTACTGCAGCAAAAAAAAACTTGTATAAGCTTGGTCTGGTTGGAGCTTACACAGGGCTCAAAGACCCTTCTCCCAACCTCACATGACATCTCTAGGGCCTGGTGATTGGCTGCTCAGGAACCCAGCACTACATTGTGACAAGAAGTGAAGAGCATCATAACCTCCCCTTACTGTATATCATTTTGCGCCAGCAAGCAAATGGGATGGCGGGGAGGGAGTCCTATAAAGTGCACCTATTACTTTACCCTGTTAAAGCCAAGTACAGTTTCACTTAAAATATAATACCCATTCATATGCACTTTGTTGTTGCCATTTTTTCTCAGTGCGCTCAGAATTTCTCATCTTTTTCTAACTTGAGTCTTTAACATTCACACTTTGCGCTATGATGTTTGTTTTCACAAAAGCAATGCCATACCTTTATTTGTGGTACATATTGCCGACAAGTTGTATCTTGTTAGACACTTTAATCATTTAAAAGCTAATGGGATCATGTGATATTATAGGACCAGCCCTGTCGATCTACAATACCTTCTATACTTAGTATTTAGCCTGCTGAGATTTTTAAACTGACTGTTTTGGCTAACAGAGGCACTGAACTTAAACAACGATAAGATTACATCTAATTTTTTTTTTTACTTAAAAAAATTAGATAATATAGAAGAAAATGTAACAAGATATTTTATAATATTTCCCTGTGTTCGTAAAAGAATATTGTAAAAAAGAAACTGAGCATATGTCTAACAGAATGTTCTTATGTTAATACATATTATTTTGATTGAATTATTAACAACTATTTTCCAAAGAAGCAAGTTAGAGCAGCCATAGTGCAATGTTAGTCTAAATTTAATAAAATTAGCATAGTCTTCCGTCTTCTCATTTTACTGCTCATCTAGAAAATGTCAAAAAATATATGAATATAGTTGCAGATTAGGTTCTATTTCCAGAAGCTGTCGAAGTATTTTGCTGAGCAGAAAACAAGAAACATTTATAATATATGCTTAATGTCTAATATTTAAATGGCAGAATTCACCATTTAAAGCATCAGGCTGTCCAAGACTGATGTTTCAGTTATAGTAAGTGTGAGCTGGGGAATAGGCAACTGGTGCAATTGCTTCCCGGGGTGGCCAAAAATGTATTTATTTATTTTATTTATTTATTTTTTCTATTCTGAAATGAAAAAGCAGTGTTTCTCTCCTGGGCAGCCAGGAGCGGGAGACTCCCGGAGTGCCCGGGAGAGTTAGGCTGCCTGGAGATCAGTGTCCCTGGTTAGCTGGTGATCTCTCTGCAAGTGGCCGGAGCCAGCCGTAAGATCACGGCTGGCTCCGCCCAGCTGTCCGAAGCAGGCTGGCGGCCGGCCCCCTTCGGCTTTCAACGTGGCTCAGCCGAGCCGAGGCATATGCGTTCAGCTAGACTGAGCCGCTCGGCCAAGTTCGGGAGCTGTACGTGGCTACAGTGAATAGCCCGTACAGCAGCCCTTTGGTTCTACTGAACCGAAGGGGTCATGGGGCCAAAGCTAGCCGAAGGATCTGCCAAAGCTACGGCTATGTCCTTCGGCTGCTTGGTGAATAAACCTCTTAATTTCCCACAGAGATATACATGATTTCTATACACACCTGTTAAACATGCAGAAGAATGTACAAAGGCAGGTGCATTGAGAGAAAGGAGGAAGCTAAAGTATTTTCCCATGATAAATTAAAGAAAGCACCTCAGTATTCCTCTGGAAAAGCACACAATCCTGCTGATTCCTGCCTGTCAACTAATAGCTAGATTATGGGGCATGTACATCTAAAGTTTTCCCTATTTTATTTTAAAATAGTATTAAACTTTGAATTATTTTTTTCAATAATGAATCCAGATAAACCAAATATAAATTGTCCACCAAAGTATTTCTTTATATTTTTGCCCAAACACTTACAGTCATCATGTTTCTGAACATCTGGCTCTACCTTTCTCAGCTCTGCTTTCCAGAACTTCCTGTCCAGTACAAGATCACAAGGGACAGCACTACCTCCAGCAGCTCTCCATCTACTAGCTGGGAGAAGGGAGAAGGGAGAAGGGAGAAGGAAGTAGAGGGGAGAAGGGAGGAAGGATGTGGCTTGCTCTGCTGTGCCTGGATATTTATGAAGAGACACACAGATTGCTAGCACACACAAGGTTGGCTCCATAGAACCCAAGGAAATGAGCCACCCTAAAACAGGGTATCAGTGCCAGTGCTCAGGGGACTAGCTAATTCTGCAGGTAACTAAAACTGTTAAACATCAATGAGCAGCATTCATTGTAAGTGATTTAATCAACATTTGAAATAGCTTAAAAACATTTTGACTTTAATATCACTTTAAGTGCAGACGGTGCCATCTCTACTTAATTAGACAAAAGGAAACCTATGGACCCCTGATATCACCATTACAATGCAGTAAAAAGAGAGAGAAAGATGGTTTTATATATATATAAAAGATGGCTTGGCTATAAGAAGATTGCCAAGACCCTAAAACTGAGCTGCAGCACGGTGGCCAAGACCATACACCGGTTTAACAGGACAATTTCCCCCTTCAGAACAGGCCTTGCCATGGTCGACCAAAGAATGAGTGCGCGTGCTCAGCGTCATATGCAGAGGTTGTCTTTGGGAAATAGATGTATAAGTGCTGCCAGCATTTCTGCAGAGGTTGAAGGGGTGGGGGGTCAGCCTGTCAGTGCTCAGACCATACGCCGCACACTGCATCAAATTGGTCTGCATGGCTGTCGTCCCAGAAAGAAGCCTCTTCTAAAGCTGATGAACAAGAAAGCCCGCAAACAGTTTGCTGAAGACAAGCAGACTAAGGACATGGATTACTGGAACCATGTCCTGTGGTCTGATGAGACCAAGATAAACTTGTTTGGTTCAGAGGGTGTCAAGCGTGTGTGGCAGCAACCAGGTGAGGAGTGCAAAGACAAGTGTGTCTTGCCTACACTCAAGCATGGTGGTGGGCGTGTCTTGGTCTGGGGCTGCATGAGAGCTGCCGGCACTGGGGAGCTACAGTTCATTGAGGGAACCATGAATGCCAACATGTACTGTGACATACTGAAGCAGAGCATGGTCTCCTCCCTTCGGAGACTGGGCCGCAGGGCAGTATTCCAACATTATGACGACCCAAAACACACCTCCAAGACGACCACTGCCTTGCTAAAGAAGCTGAGGGTAAAGGTGATGGACTGGCCAAGCATGTCTCGAGACCTAAACCCTATTGAGCATTTGTGGGGCATCCTCAAACGGAAGGTGGAGGAGCGCATGGTCTCTAACATCCACCAGTTCTGTGATGTTGTCATGGAGGAGTGGAAGAGGACTCCAGTGGCAACCTGTGAAGCTCTGGTGAATTCCATTAGTTATTTTGAGGGGACAGCAAATGTACACTGATATACAAGCTGTACACTCACTACTTTACATTGTCATTTCTTCTGTGTCGTCCCATGAAATGATATAATAAAATATTTACAAAAATGTGAGGGGAGTACTCACTTCTGTGAGATACTGTGTGTGTGTATATATATATATATATTTCAAAAGTTTTATCAAGACAACAAAGACAACACCCCTCTTTTACTATCTTTCACTATGGCCACCAATCACTGCAGATTCCTAGTCCTTCACTGGGAGAGAGTTAAAAGTTATATTTACAATTTATCTTTATATACAACCCCAATTCCAAAAAAGTTGGGATGCTGTGTAAAATATAAATAAAAACAGAATAGAATGAATTGCAAATCTCATAAGCCCATATTATATTCACAATAGAAAATAGAAAGCATATCCAATGTTTAAAATGAGAAAAACAAAATAAGATCATTTTTAAATTTATGACAGCAACACGTCTCAAAAAAATTTGGACAGGGCAATAAAAATCTGGCAAAGCAAGTAGTACTAGCAAGGAAGAGCTGGAAGAACATTTTGCAACTAAGTAGGTTAATTGGCAACAGGTCAGTAACATGATTGGGTATAAAAAGAGCATCTTAGAGAATCAGAGTGTCTCAGAAGTAAAGATGGGCAGAGGTTCACCAATCGTTAAAAAGATGCGTCAAAACATCAAATAATTTCAGAATAATGTTCTTCAATGTAAAATTGCAAAGACTTTAAATATATCATCATCTACAGTACATAATATCATCAAAAGGTTCAGAGAATCTGGAGAAATCTCTGTGCTCAAGGGACAAGGCCGAAAAGCAATATTGGATGCCCGTGATCTTCAGGCCCTCAGACTGCATTAATAACAGGCATGATTCTGTGATGGACATCGCTGCATGGGCTCAGGAATACTTCCAGAAATCAATGTCTGTGAACAGTTCACAGTGCCATCCAAAAATACAAGGTAAAACTCTATCATGCAAAGAAGAAGTCATATCTGAACATGATCCAGAAACGCCACCATTCTTCTCAGGGCCAGAGCTCATTTAAAATGGTTTGTTCTGTGGTCACACTAATTGAAATTTAAAATTCTTTTTGGCAACCATGGGTGCCGCGCCCTCCGGACTAAAGAGGAGAGGGACCTACCAGCTTATTATCAGCGCTCAGTTCAAAAGCCTATATCACTGATGGTATGGGGGTGCATTAGTGTGTATGAAATGGCAGCTTGCACATCTGGAAAGGCACCATCAATGCTAAAAGATATATCCAAATTTTAGTACAGCATATGCTCTTGGTGAGACGTCTGTTTCAGGGAAGGCCTTGCATATTTCAGAAAGACAATGCTAAACCGCATACTGCATCCATGACAATGGCATGGCAGAGTCAGGGTGCTTAACTGGCCTGCCTGCAGTCCAGACCTTTCAACTATTGAAAATATTTGGTGCATCAGTGTCTAGTGCAACAGAGCAAGGGGAGGCAACATTAAAACACAACACATACACCATGAAAGTGTGTGCTCTTCCTGACAGGGGCAAGTATAGGTGTTTTGGCCACATAATTTGCACATTAAGTAGTGGGGAATCCAGGCTGCTTTGCATGCAGTCATTAAAAAATAGGAATGTTTAATACTGCTTTAAGTGGGGTGGGTGTATAAAGTGGTAGAGCATGTACAAAAGGGTGTCACAATTATGTGTACCTAGTGAAGTTTGATCTCTATATACCAGCCCAAATGAAATATCATACAGCATAAATTATTAAGGACATAATTTTAGTTAGGTGTGGGGAAATCGTGCCTATTGTATATGTAGGCTCAGAGATCAGATTGTAATTTTAAATTGATGTCTGGTTTCCACAGAGAGTCTATATTATCTTATTGTTTTGTATCCCCTTTTATGTGTGCTGTGTAAAGGAATAGGATTAATAGGCAGAAGACACACATGGAGCAGCATCCCTTGAAAATATTAATAGGGAATATTTTTCATCTGCATGTCACAGACGTCCAGTCATGTGAAGATAAAGAAATAGATCCACCGAGGTTCTCTCCAATATGCATGATATGAGCTCTGTGTATTTCCAGGCTCTAACAGTACAGGCTATTCACAGAGGTGGATGCACTGGAATGACATAAAATAAAATACATTAGAGAAGAGTGATACAATGGCATGGGTAATTGCACATCACCTGCATGAGCTCAATATCACAGTTCCTATCAGCAATATGTGACAACATTTAGACAGGTACACTACTTATTCTAAGAGCAATGCCAGGCAACAATTACACTTATATTCAATTGTCACATTTTGTTAGTACACTGATATACTGTAGTTACTCTATTGGTTATGTGCTGTCTAAAACACGACCTTCTCATGCTGTTCAGAATGTTTTACAATGATGCTAAATAAAAGGTTCATTCAGTTTACCTTAAAACCCTATTGAGACCTGAGCGGAAATTTATACTAAATTAAAGTTTTAATTTTCATGCAATGCAGGATTTATAGTGTAAATTGTGGTGCACCTTGTTTTAAATATCAACCACATGTGCATTGTGGCCTGTTTTTTTTTTTTCGTACACTGTAGTGTGCTGACAGCCCTTTCAAAATGATTTGACTTCACTTGACTTTGGCCTTAAACTCCAGGCAAACAAGTTGGCTTGTGTTCTACATCAATCTAAATTTGTATAATCCTCTCTGACACATTTAACAGTCTTTTTGCATTTCCTGTGGGTAGGATTGGAGCCACTTTTCACATGATTCTGTTTACATCAGGGTTGCCCATTAGGTCGATCGCGATCTACCAGTTGACCGCAAAGTGAACACTGGTAGATCACGATCGGCTCACTGACTTGTGTCCTGTCCTCCCGCGGTGCTCGTGCAGCTGCCGGCTGAATGTGTCAGATGCCGCAGGCGGGAAGGGGCGGGACACCTCTCCCCGTGTGCAACATCGGCCACATTCGCCCACACAAGCACCGTCGGAGGACAGGACGCCGGCACATGAGAGGAGACCTGGGAAGCTGCTGCAGTGGAGGTAAGAAACGACAGAAAGGAGAGAGACAGCAGAGAAAGTGAGAGAAGAGAAAGCAAAGAGAGAGAGAGAGACAACAGATAGAAACAGGGGAGAGAGCGAGGAGAGAGAGCGCAAGTGAGAGAGAAGAGACAGAAGAGAAAAGAGAGGGTCGGTTCACACCACAAAGTCTGCGTTCCGCAGTGTTCAGCTCCCTTCGTTCAGGGGTGTGAGGTTGCCTCGAAGTCAATGGCACCACAGCCACGCCCCCCGCCCGCAGTGCGTTCGCACGCATCCGGAACGCAGGCACATTAGTGCTTGCATTCCAGTCCAGTGCGATCTGCAAAAATAGTGCTTGCAGCATTTTTGCAGATCGCACTGGACCGGAATGCAGGCACTAATGTGCCTGCGTTCCGGGTGCGGGGGATCGCACTGTGGGCAGGGGGCGTGGCGGCAGTGCCATTGACTTCAATGCACCGCCATGCCTTCTCCTGTCCCTGAATGCAGGTGTTTTTTTATTGGTTGATCTCATTGAGCTCGTCATTTGAAAAGTAGATCTCCAAACAAAAAAGACCCACACTGGCCTACATTTGATCAGGCTTTGATCACTGTCATCCAGAAAATGGGGACATCAGTAACTTGAGATATTAGATAGTAAAACTGATAGGTGAAAAGGTGAGTGCCAGCATCAAACCTACTGCAGTTATTCATAAATAACCTAGTATTTGGTTTTGCTACCATAAATTGTATTAGGATAATTGAAAGATTGTAAACACCATTTGTATGTGAAATCACACTTTCCCACAATATTAGCTGATGATGATGGTTTATAAACATATGATGATGATGATGATGATGATAATGATTATTGTGATTTTTACTATCAAGTAATTACATCAACTGTTGTACTGTGCACATGCTACTGGTCTTTAGAAAGAAAAATCGTATTTACACATGGCTTACTATGGATCTATTAATTGAAAGTTGCTCCTACAGGGAGCCTCACTGTAATAATACTGCTTGACAGCATGACAGACCATGCAGTAGTCACAATTGTGTGATTAGCTTAGTCCCAACCCCCAAACTAGGCCATGCAGAGTAAAGGAGAAGCAACCTAGGAATACATCATAGGAATAAAAAAAAAGGTATCTCTGCCATTTTTTACAGCTAATGCCATGTGTATTGATTTTTTTGTTGTGTACCCTATCCAAAAACATTTAAAAAAGAGAGCATCTGGGTGTACAACCACTTTAAATGTGGTATAGTCAAGTATGTGGTGGAGGCAATGAGAGGGCTTCCTGGGATCAGGACAAAAAGTGGCATGGGTGCTTGCACTGGGTCCGGACACAGCGGATGATCTCAAGACAGTCTGGATACTGCTGAGATTCTGGGGAGGTTCAGTTTGGACCTGTGCAGAATATGCAGCTGGTTTGCAGGTCGTGCACAGGAACACATAGGAACATGAAGTAGAGTTGTAGTCAGGGCAAGCAGAAATCAAAAACAGCCAGGCAGAAGAGGCACCAATTCAAAAAGCAGAAGTGAAGTCCGAGGGGTCTATTCACGAAGCAGCCGAAGGATCTAGCCGTAGCTTCGGCCTATTCTTCGGCTAGCTTCGGCCCCGGACCCCTTCGGTTCAGTAGAACCGAAGGGCTGCTGTACTCAGGGCCGTCCTTAGGCCTTTAGGCACCCTGTGCGAGGAAGCTTTACAGCGCCCCTCAGTGACCACACCCCTCAGTGGCCAAACCCCCAGTAACCACACCCATTCCCCCCAATATCCACACCATTTAAAGACTCCTATTTTCTTAAGACGCAAACAAACGTATATTAAAAAGTATGATAAAAATAAAACTTTTATTCAAAGGTATTAAACTTGTCGGCACAATATAAGTATTCTTATTAAATAAAACAACAGAAGGCAAACAATAAATGTCAAACTAAAATAGAGTCAATAAAAATAAAGTGTCAGGTTGTCATGCCGATCCCTTTTTTTAACTAAGTATATCTAGAAAAGTAAAATTAGAAAACAGAACACAAAACCTAGACTACGTGTAAATTAATGAATTACTATATGTCCGAATATACGAAAAATGTATTTAGGCACATAATAATTTGTTTGAGAATATGCGGCGGCCATGTTGGCCACCGGCGTGTTCTGTGAATGCGTGCCACTATCTTGGAGGCGGGGAGCATGACGTTACATGACGCCATGCATGCGTGGTGCCAGGTGACGTCACACGCCGATATAGGCGCTGCCATCTTGGTGTATACCTAGTTATACACCAAGATGGCGGCGCCCAACACATGCGGTGTTATATGACGTCATGCGCCCTGCCTCCAGAACACGCCAGTGGCTGAATCCAAAATAGCATAAAAATGTGTTTTGTTTGATGAAAAGAATGAAAAAGTTTTTAGTTCTCGTTCATATCATGTGAAATGAATTTTTAGTCTTCGCACATGTCTAATAATACGTGTGTGTGTGTTGGGGGGGGAGTGAGGGGGGCAGTTTTCACTTTTGTTAAACATTTTTTTACATTTTTTATTATTTTTTTTAATCATTTTCTATTTTTATTCCTTTATTATTAATTTTTTACTGGGGGGGGGGGTTCCGGGGAAATATTAGGTGTCTAAACAGACCCCTGACATTTCCCTTTTAAAATAGAAAAGAAATTGAGGAGCCAAATCCTCAATTTCTTTTTCAGCAGCCTCAGCAGTCAATGAATGGGAAACACTCAGTACAGAGGCTTCCATTTCATTCAGACACTGATAGTAAAATATTTGACTATCAGCAGGTTCTGAATGGGGAGGAGCCTCTGTACTGAGTGCTTCCGGGAGAGTTTTTTTTTCTTTTTTTGAAAGGCAGTAGAACTGCTGGCCAATAGAAAACAGTTGGGCGGAGCTAGCTGTCACTGCTAGTTCCGCACAATCGCTTTCTTTGAACTTTTTCAACTATTTTTCTGTTCTGCTCGGTACCACAGAGGGACCGAGCAGAACACCGGAGCCGAATGCCACTGGCTATTCACTCACGCTGTTCGGCATCTATAAGAATAGACCGAACAGCAGCGAGTAGCCTGCCGGAGGTTCGGCTTAGCCGATCCAGATGTTGGATCGGCTGAGTCGAACTCCTTCTGCACTTCGGGTCGGTCC